CAAAGAAAACTCTTATTAGGCACATGCCTAATACTTCTTCAATGAGATGGACATCATCAGTAACATGTGTTGATTTATATTAATTTGAGGTGTTTTTATGTGTAGGAATGATCCGGGAACAATTGGGTAGAGCCAAAACGAACGAAAACAGGAAAATTAAAATTTGCAGCGCTACAGGCAGTGCCTAGCCCTACCTCTGGCGCCAGAAACAGAAACTCCAAATTGGCAGCGCCATGTAGGGCGCCTGGCACTAGGCAGGGCGTTGATGGCGTGAAACTTGTCCAAATTCGCCCGGGAGACGGTTATTTCGGCCCAAGACCCCCCTAACTCGTATAAAAGGAGCTCTAAACCTATTTTGGGAGATATCTAACATATTTTGAAGGGGATCCAATATACTTTGAAGGAGGATTCCCGTGGGGGAACACACACCACGCTTGGAGGAGGCTTCTAACTAGTTTTTCTTCTCTTCTCTTCCTTTGATTTCATAGTTTCTTAGTTCTAGAGTTTTGGGTGTTACATGAACGTTGTGGTTTGAAGCTTGAATTGTTTTTATTATTTTATCATATTGGTTTGTCTATTCAATCTTGCACAATAATTATTTGATTGCTTGATTACCAATTGAATACTATCTACGAATCTAGGATTGAACTCGGGAGAGAGAATTCTAGATTGCATATAAGATTGAGTAGAGCAAGATCTTAACTCTGGGGGGAAGGGGGGGGGGGATTTGCGGTTAGGATAGGAATATACCTAATCGCCTTGCTTGATTACTATACAAGAATTATTAATATGTTCTTGTTAATTCTAATTCCATAGGAATATAGACATTAGATTAGCTTGAATATGCGAGTTGTACTTCGGGAGAAGGCTACGAGCAATGTTAACCCTGTCAACCAATAAACCAGATAAATTAATTAGACGAATTAAGTGAAAAACTCAACGGGATTGTTAGCTAACCCATATCTCTAGAATATTCACTCACATTGAATTCGTCTCTATAATTCACCAACTTGTTTTCTTTAATCTCTTAATTTGTTACTCTAGATTAAATTAAGTTAAATATTCATACATTAGGATTTGCTTGAATAGATTAATTATTAAGTTTAATTTAGCTGATAGTTAATCACAAGTCCTCATGAGTACGATATTTGGAATTACAATCCTATATTACTTATCGACCACATATATCTGCGTGTGCGTTTGGGAGCAACACGCTTCCCTAGTTAATTATTTTACATAATTTGCTTCATTGGACGTAAAGCCTAGTTGGGGGTAATAACGAATTAAGCTTCACCTTGCTAAGAAAAATGAAGTAAAAAGGATCTGAGTACTATTTTCTAGACATTATAAAATGTAAATTTTATTCTATTTTTCTTGGAATGGATATTGTACAGGACAAAGAAGTTCTATCGTAATTTTAAGATTGGACACAAGAGGAGATCAAAGCGTTAATTAATTCATATTTTCAGTTCATTAAATCTTCTAATCATGGTAAGTTAAAAATTAATTTGGTATAAATATCCGGTGCTGATAAGCATTTACAAAAAACAATATGTAACACTCACAAGTATATGTGATTGAAGGAAATACTAATGTATGACTACTTGCAATAGAAGAAAATTAAATTTGCATAATTAGTAGAAGCCACTTATTTTGGATGACAAAAGAACAAAAGGGTCACTGCTGCAACTTCTAACTAGAGAGCTCCAAACTTGAACAAAAAACAATATGCAGATTCAAGAATCTATGCTGTATTGAAGTAACCAGAATTATTTTTAAAAAAAAATTACCCTTTAACATAATTCAATCCACACCTTTCCCCATTTTTTATTTCCCTTTAAATTTGGTCAAAACTAGAGACATTTTCCTACATATCCAGCATTTCTGAATAGTGCCTGCTTTATGTCTTCTGCATTTGTAAATCCTCTCTGCTCCATTTCCTATCATCATCACCAAAACCATTTGTTTTAATTTTAAAGAGCGCAAACATTGAAATTAATACATCACATCACCAGATTAAATAATTTCAAGATAAGAAAACTTCTTCTTTTCACATAACAAATACGTAGGGCATGTTATTTGTAGGTTCTAATTATCAATATATGCAATACTGGTGAAATATTAAAATTTGTTTGATTAATATTGTAAGCGAAAAGATGGTTTTTACCGATAAATCTTTACCTTTTTTTTTCTACGTGAAACTTGTGTCCAACACAACTTATTTGTAAGTACACTTTTTCAACTTTAAATCTTAAGAGATCAGAATGATGAAGAATCATCGAGAAATCATCTATGTTTAAAGATTTCATAAAAACTTTTAAAAGTTAAAAATAGGTAATTGATATTTAAGTTTTATACCTCAAAGCAAGAAGCTTGCATTGCAAAATCATTGAAACAGCTGATAACACAATGTTGAGCCTCTAAACCTAAGGCGTCTAGTGTGGTCAATGTTGATAGCAAAAGATCAGACTTTCCTGCACAAGTAATCTCCACCCTTGTATCAATATTCCTCCTTTCCACATCAAACTGTAATAAAGCAATAGCAGAAACGATTACATGATCTTAGATCTAGAGTAAGTGAGTTCAAAACAAGTACTCCATAATCTAAGTATATGTATAAACATTTTAGTTTTTTTGTAGAGAAATATATATATAGTCCGAACAGAAAGTAATGAGTTCAATTCAGTTCACAAAACTAGCCTTAAACTCGCCTAAGCTCGAAAGAGCAGAGAGTGGGGAAGGGGGATTTTGTAGCAAATGGGAGCTCACCTTAGGTGAATTTCGGACAAATATTTCGATGGGTTTTTCATTCTTGAAAATGCTCATCAAGCTTAGTTGATTTGGCCCTAGTTCCATTTCTTCTTGCAAATTGTTGATTTTCTCAAGAAGCTCCTTCGTGTAGTCGATGGTGTCTCCAACGATTGACGTTCTGTCCATCTGTTAGAATCAAATATATATATGACATTATGTAAATAAACTTCAGAAATTAAAGAAGATGCATGCATGATATCCGAATTCTTGATTACATATGCATGGTATTGCAAATTCTAACATGAAAACGACTACTATGTCTCAATTCCAAGTGTACCAATTTTTACTGTCCATGTCGCCACTCTATTTAAATCTTGTCGTAGTCCAATATTATGAAAATTAGTTCCTTTAACGCTAAAAAATCTCCATATTTTCAACTAGCATATAAATCTCTTTATCAATAGGATTTGCATAGCTTACAGTCTACAGGGAAGGAGACAAGGACAAGGCACCGGACACATTGACGGACCTAGAGCATTGAATATGAGTTCCCGGGAACCCAGTAATTTTTACACGGCCTTGTATTTATATTAAGAAATCTACCAAATTTTTGTAAATATCTAACTGTGAACTCAGTTATTATTACATATTAATTTGAGATTATTGTAAACTTCAAATCTAGGATCCGCCTCTGACCGGACATGTCCTACTCTCAACCTCCCATCCATTATTAGTAATCTTAATTCGCTTTTTCTATTCACTAGTAGACTGTGCTCTAACAACATATATATACTTAGTATATTGAAAAGAAGTGAAAAAATTTAGGATATATTTTTGTACCTTGCTAATCTTGGGAACAACTGATCTAAGCATGGAAAGACGATCATTGAGCCGTTTCCTTCTCCTTCTCTCAGCCATTAAATTCTTAGAAGGCTGCCCATTTAGCTTCTTTGTATTGACCTTTTTCTCAGGGCACAAGCTGCCAATGTTGAAAGTAGGGGCTGTTACTGCTGATTCTGTTCTCTCCAATTTACAAGCAAAATTTTCCACCTCCAAATCTTGTAATTGGGAAGTGAAAGGAGTGCCAAACCAGTTGTTGGAAGAATTAGTGAGCTCTAGCTGTGTGCTGTAAAATTCACTGATTAATGAATTATTCAGGTTTTGGTCAAATGAGTAATCCTCAAAAGAAGAGGTAGTAGTAGTAGTAGTACAAGGAAGAGGAATTGGAACAGCATTTTCCCCAAAACATTCATAATTCCAGCCATTATTGTAATATAAATCATTCATTTCTATGGGAAGAGATGTTTCCCGTGAGTCACTTCTTAGAGCTAGTAATAAGAAGCCATTGTCACTATAATATTCCATGTCTCTCTCTATTTCTAATTTTCTCTGCTCCCTTTTTCTTGAAAAGGGGGATGGAGGCTAGCTAATAATTTATGGACAAAAGTTGCACCTAATTTATAGGAAAAGAAAGGAGGTATAGTGGTTTTTCCTCCTTGATGTCACGGGCTAATTATGATGCATTAATTATTACCTAGAGCGTTAGACAAATGGAATCAGCTCCGCTTTTAGAAATAGATCGAAGTAGAGTTTTTAAAAATGACATCTTTTTTTTTCGTTTAATTATACTCACTAGTCTCACTAATTTAGATTTGTGTTGCTTAGAATTTTTCTTGCCCAAAATGTTTTTATGCTCAGAATTCGAATCTAAAATCTTTTATTAAGAGTCGAGGGATTTGACTCATCCCACCATACTGCTTTGATGATAAAATGGAATCATTAGCTTAATTATATTTTTTATTTGGAAAATTGTATTTGAACCTCATTTGGTTAATATTAATGTCACTGATTTGTCATTTGCTCCAATCAAAATTTTCAAAAAAATATTTAGATCATCTTTTCCAGTTTAATAATTCAACAATCGAAGTCATTGATCCGACTAGTTTAAATTCACGCTGAATTTGCCCACTAAAGGAGATAATTATATCAATTACGCATTGAATGTTTTCTATTCTTAACCCACCTATTAATTAGTACCTAATACTTATATATTTAATTGAGAAATCAAAAGGTTTAATTTGTTCAAATAGTAAATATCAGCTTTACAGGCTTTGGAAGCAGACAAATTAGGATCTTTGCTTGTAAGGTTAATTATGGACAAGTGTACTATGGGACAACAAATTTCTACCGATAGCACTTCATTTTGTAATGACACGCATTTGGTATATTTAATATTTCCTTTATGATTTTAAAAAAATAAACATACCAAGTCTTTATGAATAAAGTAAAATGAATTAGACATAAAGAATGTATATTCTCAGTTGAATTTACGTCCTAAAGTTTTAGCAAATTCCTCTTTAGATTGTTAAAAAAAATGTTAAACATTAGAAACATCCAAAGCCCTCTGCAGAATGAACAATGTTTAACCTTATCTTTTATGTAATTTAAAACTCCAACTTGTTTTGTTTTTGGTAAACGTATTTTATCACTAAAATAAACCTTGAGCTCAGTTTATCTGTGGGCGACACGATTTCATGCCTTTTTCACCGCAATCTGGTTTTTGAAACTGAGTTAATTAAAAAAAAAAAAGAATTAATCAATTTACTTTAGGTTGTAGTACGAGAAGTTTGACATGTTAGGATAGACTATAAATCATGCATATTGTTATACTATTCTTTATGGAATAATTATTTATTTATTTATTCAATTCAATAAAATTTTATTTTAAATAGATCATGTATTTGTTAGTGTGTCCTTTGCTTATATAGTAGATGATTCAGTATATAGAGTTTAGCTTATACATGAAAGATTAAATCATCGATTCTTATAAGTAATAAAGTTTATGTTCACAATCTAATGATTGAATTGGACAAACCATCGAAATGGTTGTACCACAAGATTAAATATAATTTATCTTGATTATAGGAACGATTTAATTCCGACTTCTTGTGCTATTACATTTTGTATGTATTGAAAGGATCAAGTAGAGATTGACTTAATAAGATAATTTCTCTAGTCCATTCAATGTACTTATACTCTTAATTTTTATATAATAATTATTAGTTGTGTGTGTTATTTATTATTTTGATTTATTAAAAGGCGAGATTCTTTCGTGGGCCAATAAGCCTGCTAAATTAGACAATAATAATATACATTGGCAAAATAATAATTAGTTGATAGAATCCATGTCTCGAATTTTGAGATTGATGATACTCCTTTATGAAAGCTTATAAGTTTTTTTGTGTAAACCCGGCCAATGACTTTTGTATCTGATATATGAAATAAGTTAAGTGAAAGTCTAAAGGAAGTAATCAATAAATTAAATTGTTAGTAATTTAATTTAATTGATTAGTATCTGAATTTTAATATGGGGAGTTAAATAAGATTTTATGGAAGAATTTTATAATTGAACTAAGGAGTGCAATTATAAATTTTTCGTGGAATAATACGTAATTATTATGGTAGAAATTAATTTCGAAATTCAAAATTAATTCCATAATAGGGAGCCTTGTTAATTAAATTAAGTGGTCCCTGCTGTGCCTAAAGAATAGAAAATAAAAGAAACTTTTTCTTTGTGGAAAAAAAAAACTCAACACGCTTTGAAAAGGGATTTTACCCTAAAAACGTGACTATATATACATGGTATACCGTTGGCCATTTTTCTATACATTTTTCCTTTGAATTTCTCCCACTCAAAAATTTCTCTTTCCAGATATTACTTGGGTAACACAGTAGAAGACTATGAACTATTTTCTGGAGGTCGTGATCTTGCTACTCTGGAACTGGAGACCGAGATTGATCTACTTTGTTCACGCTTCAAGAGGTAACCCGTATAATCTACATATATGCTAATTATTTAATTTACGTATGAATATGATATTGAAATTGCTTTCGCTGCGATATATAATCCAACAATTGTATCAGAGCCTACTCACGTCTAATTAGATAATTAGGATGATCATGAAAAAGGAAAATCATATTAATAAGCTAATTTTAAATTACAAACAAAAATTATTTTTCTGAAAATTTGCACTGCTCTATGCATCAATATTTGTTCCAAGAATTTTTTATTATTCTATAAATCATCTAATATTTGTTTATTATTGATTATAATTGATAAGAATAATTTGAAAATTTCGTTAATCCGAGAAAAACGCAAAAACTTATTGTTCGCTGAATTGGTTAGAAAATCAGAGGTTAACATATTGACAGACTCCGATTGACCTGAAATTTGATAAGTCCGTGGGAAACGACCCACTAGTCAAATGAGCTTTGCTCATGAAATAAGCCATTTTCGGGCATTCGGAGTCATTTAGATGGTGTTTTGGGTGTTTTTCTAGTTTTCTGAAAGTTTATTTAAAAAAAAATTATTTTTAACTTAGTGGTGGTATGGATCTTTCCTTAGGGTCTCCATGATTAAATTATGGTGATATAATGAATTTACTCGTTGACGTAGGTATTCATCCTTATCGGATAAATTCATTATAGGTATTCACTAGGTAATACTAGTTGCTGGTTACTTGTATTTACTCTTCATATGGGTATGCATGTTGGTTCAATGAGATTATTATCATGAATGTTGGTATGCATTTGATTTAAATTAACAGTTTACTCTCCATCTGAGTAAGGCATGTTTAAATTCACAGAATGAATAATCTGTCATTACATATGTATATTGCAAGAATAGCTCTTTTCCCATCGAAGCTTATTGTTCAAGGTGCATGGATTATATGTATGCAGTGTATTTTAAATTTTAATATTCAATGAAATATGACCGATTTGATCTATTTGTTTAATTGTCTCTCATATTAACCATGACTGTTTTCAGTTCCCTTACTGCTATTCAGACTCAAAACAAACTTGAGAGTTCGAATTATGTTGATTGGAAATAAAACTTGGATATTGACCTAATTGCTGAAGAGTACAAATTTGTGCTTGATAAGGTATGTCCAAAAAAACTTAGAGAAGATGCTACAGATGATGAACAGAAAGCTTACCAAAAATGGGTTAAGGATGATGAGATGGCGTAGTGTTACATTTTGGCATCTATGTCGAATGTTCTATAACATCAGCATCAGTCTATGGAGTCTGTGTCTCGACCCAAATCCTAACCTATCGTTATGGCATCTATCGATGGTACTAGGCGCGACATTTCCAAAATACTTCCGATATTTAACAAAAAATGAATCAAGAAATTTTAAATAGGCAAAGTTTTCATAAACAGGGGTAAAACCCAAAATATTAGTGCGAAAAATAGCTCCCAATATCGGGGTGTCACCGAGTCCATGATCATCTATACATAATCAATCTAGAAATGAAACTTCTATAACAGTTTGAATCCAAATACAACGAAAGAAAAGATAAGGAAGGAGAAAACAAGGACTGCAAATGCCAGGCAGCTTCCTCGCTATCTCTAACGGTCAGCTACGTGAAAAATCAATACCCTCCGCATCCAGAAACTCCTCGATCTACACACGAAGTGCAGGGTGTATAGTGTGTACAACCAACTCGGTAAGTAACAATAATAAATAAGGAACTGAAAGATAGTGACGAGCGACACAGTTGTAATTCATTTTCAGTAGTCTCAACAAGGAATATAGACATGCTTCCTAAATCCGAAAATTAAGTCAAATCAGTTTGTTTGTGCCATGTTCAACTAAAATCGAATAAAAATATCTTTCAGAAGTTATCAAAGTAGTGATATAAGGCAACTATGTGCAAGCACAATGAAATTATATACAGCCTCTCAAGGCAATAATCACTCAGTCCTCCCATTCACTCCAGCCTCACAGTCACTCATTCCTCACGATCACTCAGCACTAGGCACTCGCACTCAGTAGGTACCTGTGCTCACTAGGGGTGTGTACAGATACCAGAGGGACTCCTACAACCCAAGTGCTATATCAAACCAATTATGGCATAAACAATAAAATATACTGCAGCGTACGGCCCGATCCCATAAATATCCTCACAAACAGGCCCTCGACCTCACTCAGTCATCAATCTCTGCAGTCTCTTGGGCTCTCAATGTCACGACCCTAAACCCGAACCCGGTCATGATGGCGCCTCTCGTGAAGACAAGTCCAGGCAACTATTCTCAATTCGATGTTAAACAATTAAACAGCAAGAAAACAGTCTAAAACATGATTTAACAATACTAAGTAGTAGATAATATCTTAAATATGCGGAAGGACAACCCAACACAGCCCTAAACCGGGGTGTCACTAGTCATAAGCATCTATAAAACCTAAAACAAGTCTGAAAATTCTACAAACTATTACAAATGTCTGATAAGAGATAGAAATGGTAAAAAGGGAGAATGACTGCGAATGTCAACAACTATTTCATGGACTCCGATATCTGCCAGGAGCTCTCAACTCGCACTAGCAGGATCCGTAATGCCTGAATCTGCACACGGGGT